AAAAAAAAACATTTAACAGAGAAATAAGTCAGATTTTTGAAACATTTTTTTATTATTTTAATTTTTCTTGTCGAAAAATCTAATACGTATTCTGATTGGTTGATTTTTAAAATCGGTTAACGATCGAACAATGAATTTTGAATTTTTTGGAACCATTTGAATCAGAAAATTGTTCATTACGGCCCTGATATGTTTTGTTTTTTAACCATAATTCAAGCATTTTACCGACTTAAAATTGATAGAAATAAAAATGATAAAAATAATAAAATTTTCATTCCTTCCTACCTTTGTAATACTCATCTGGGGAGACACAAATATCCATATAAACCTGCTCAAAGGTCCCCACAAACTCCACTTCCTTCGTTTTCAAATTCAACAACGGTCGCATCATACGAGCCGGTCCTGTAAACAAAAACAGCCCCGGAAACTGTGCCGTAACCTTCAACAACGGAACCAAAACAATCTCAAGCGTATTTGGTACCTCCTCCCCTTTAATCTTACACAACCTCAATTGTTCAACCAACTTCGGTCCTAAATCCCTCCTCACATACCCCAAAACCCTCCCATCAAGCACCACAACATAATTCTCCTCAAACCTCAAATTTGTCACATATTTCAAAGCCACCATTCCCAATCTCGTCAAAATAATCGGAATATTTTCGACTTTTTTCGCATCGGGGACATCCGTAACGGAACAATTCGACGTCAAGTGGTTCAAGAGCCCACAGGGGGCCCCATCGGGGGTGTGCACCGGACAGATGAAGCCCCACGCGTCGGGCAACAACTGTCTCACCTCCGTGGTTCGCATCTCCTGGAAGAAGGCCCCCCGATGGACGGCTTTGAAATGAGACATGTAACGCATCCGATTTATATTCTCAGCGACTATTGTCAAGCCTTTGTCCTGCATGAGCCCCAAACCGGAAGTAGAATTGACATTTCCCGTGGCGAGGAACAACTCAAAGGCATGCTCGAGCCCCCCGGAGCGTTTCGCCGCTTGGAGGATGGTGTTTTGGGTCAAATGACCCGAAATTGTAACACTACGTTTCAAAATGTTCGATTTGAGACCGAATAACCAGCCCTGTAAACGCTCTTTGAGCAGTTGCAAGTAGAGGTGCCCCCCGAGTAAGAGTTCTTGCATCATTACTGCGTCGGCCCCCTCAGGCTTGCACTTGTCCTGTGCAAACAAAAAGAGTTTCTGACACATTAAAACCAACATATTGAATTTGTCTTCGGGTTTTTCGAGGTGAATTAAAACGCATTTTTTCAGGATGAAATCTGCGATTTCAGAGTCGGTGAACCAATCAGGACACTCGTAGAATTTCACACGAAACATTTTACCCAAATAGGCTTTACAGTCTTCGTGGGTGTGGAGATTTTCGACATGAAGGTCTCGCAACATGTTTTGGACGCAACTAAAAAATTAAATTAAAAATTATTCATAAACAATTTTCATATTAATGTGCATCAAGTAGGTTAAATGCATCTTTAATTTATTTATTTTTTTAATAATGTCGAAGATTCACGTTTTTCTATTGGCAACACTGAATTAGTGGTAATCCTTCTAAATTTGTTATATCAAAATATTTCAGGTCACGGCTAAATCAGCAGTCGTCCGTCGCAAATCAATGACAATTGCCTATAAAAGTTTGACGTTTGAATTTGACAGTCAAGGTTGCCAAATTAAATTTTAAATTTGACACCAAATCATTTACAGTCACCCGATATTTACGTTTTTACTTGAAAAACATGCTAAAACACTTGATAAAGGCAAAAATAATGACTTGATTCGATGTTTTTTTTTGGTTTGTTTTAGCAAAATATTGCAATTAACACCATTTTCGACCAAATTTTGTATTTTTCGTCTTATTTTTTTGATAAAATTTCACTTAAAAAGACCTAAATCGAATGAAACAAACCAAATAACATCAACTTAGATGTATTTTTGTTTTTGACATATCCTGCAAAAAAGTTCAAAAATGAACTAAACTGAGTGAAACAAGCTAAAATAATGTCCATAATTTGGTAATTTTAGAAAAATTTGTTGTTAAAATTTGTTTTTATCTTAAAACGCTCTTAACCACTTGAAAAAAGCAAAAATATGCTATTTTTAACCCAATTTGATAAAATTTCAGCTGAAAAATGTGCTAAAACACTGGAAAAAGGCAAAAATTATTTGATGTTTTTTATTCAATGTGTTATTTTTTTGGTTTGTTTTAGAAAAATCTTACAAAAAACGTAAAATTTTGGTTGGAAAACGTGTTTACAAGTTTAAAAAAATTAGTTTTCGATCAAATTTTCCGATTTTTCTGCTTATTTTTGATTACTTTTTACTGAAAAACTAGTTAAATTAAGTGAAACAAAGAAAATATCATTAATTTTGATTTGTTTTTTTGATTGTTAGGCGTGTTTTGACAAGTTCTTGCAAAATAAATTGTTAGTTGTAGAGCCAATTATAGAAAACTTTTTCAGAATTTTTTTTATTTCATTTTTCGTAAGTTTGTTCTTAAAGAATTTTTGCGAAATAATTGCGTTTTGCGAAATCAATGCGTTTTTATCTTAAAAATGTTCAAAAACACTTGAAAAAAACAAACAATATATAATTTTTGACTTTTGGGAATTTTTTGCTTAAATTTTACAGAAATTTTGTAAAAAACATGCTTTGTTTGCAAAATTGAAAATGATATTATTTTCGACTAAATTTTGTTTTTTTTTGTTTTTGAATATCTTTTACTCAAAAATCAGTAAAATCGAGA